CTCCGGACGCACAGCCTCAGCGGCCTGGGCTCACGGCCCCAGCCGCTCCGCGGCATGAGGGATCTTCCCGGCCGGGGGCACGAACCCGTGTCCCCTGCATCGGCAGGCGGACTCTCAACCACTGCGCCACCAGGGAAGCCCCTACCAGTGATATCTTAATGTATGTCTTTAAAAAAATAACAGAAAAAGAGGGATTCACTGGTTCTACTAGGTTCAGCAATCCCTTGCTAGGAAAAACCTGGCCAAGTGTTACTGTGCCCTGATAGTAGGAACCTGAATTGCAGGCATAGTTCAAAAGCTTTGCCTTCTAAGCTCCAAATCATTACCTGACAAGTCTGTGCGCAGGCTTTTTTGTCACCCTCCAGGAAAGCGTTTGCAACCTTATTAACGTGCAGGAAAAAGAAGGCCCAGAATTGTGTCTGCTTCTCCCCTCATCCCCCAGACCTGGCACTACCCTGGGACTTACCGAGATTTCTTTTCCCATGCCAATCTGGCTGAGGTTGGGTTTCATGCCTGTGCCCATTTGCCAGATTATTGCCTCTGCTGGTTGGGTCTTGAAAGGCCACTCTCTGGCATGGAGTTCATACCAGATTGTCCTGTTGGCAGACATTGTTAAAGGGTGTGATATGTCCCTTGCAACTCTGTGTCCCCTTACCAACACACGCCCACCCAGTCAGCCTGCTGGTTAACCACTCTGGCCCCCTAGTTTCTGCCTCACAGGGCTGGTGTTTTGCTACCTAAGATGTACATAAAGCTTTGTCAGTGTCTTAGAAGTCATGCTTATCCCAGGATATCTTCTCTGGTGCCTGAATTAAAATGAATCAAAAGCTAGAACCTGAACAGTCTAATATAATGCGGCTAGGATCTCTGACCCCATGCTTGTAATTTTAGGAAACTATTGTAAGGGGAATATAAGGGATACAGACAAAAACTCAATTACAAGGATCTTCTGTGCACCATTATATAGAACACTGAAAAAAGTAGCAATAACACAATTGTTCAATAACAAGAATTGACACTTCCTAACACCATACACAAAAATAAACTCAAAATGGATGAAAGACCTAAATGTAAGGCCAGACACTATAAAACTCTTAGAGGAAAACATAGGCAGAACACTCTATGACATAAATCACGGCAAGATCCTTTTTGACCCACCTCCTAGAGAAATGGAAATAAAAACAAAAATAAACAAATGGGACCTAATGAAACTTCAAAGCTTTTGCACAGCAAAGGAAACCATAAACAAGACGAAAAGACAACGCTCAGAATGGGAGAAAATATTTGCAAATGAAGCAACTGACAAAGGATTAATCTCCAAAATTTACAAGCAGCTCATGCAGCTCAATAACAAAAAAACAAACAATCCAATCCAAAAATGGGCAGAAGACCTAAATAGACATTTCTCCAAGGAAGATATACAGATTGCCAACACACACATGAAAGGATGCTCAACACCACTAATCATTAGAGAAATGCAAATCAAAACTACAATGAGGTATCACCTCACACTGGTCAGAATGGCCATCATCAAAAAATCTAGAAACAATAAATGCTGGAGAGGGTGCGGAGAAATGGGAATCCTCCTGCACTGTTGGTGGGAATGCAAACTGATACAGTCACTATGGAGAACGGTATGGAGATTCCTTAAAAAACTAAAAATAGAACTACTATATGACCCAGCAATCCTCCTACTGGGCATATACCCTGAGAAAACCGTAATTCAAAAAGATACATGTACCACAATGTTCACTGCAGCACCATTTACAATAGCCAGGACGTGGAAGCAACCTAAGTGTCCATCAACAGATGAATGGATAAAGGAGATGTGGCACACATACACAATGAAATATTACTCAGCCATAAAAAGGAATGAAAGTGAGTTACTTGTAGTAAGGTGGATGGACCTAGAGTCTTTCATACAGAGTGAAGTAAGTCAGAAAGAGAAAAACAAATACCGTATGCTAAGACATATACATGGAATCTAGAAAAATTGTACTGATGAACCTAGTGGAGGGCAGGAATAAAGACGCTGATGTAGAGAATGGACTTGAGGTCGTGGGGGGAGGGGGAGGCTGGGCCGCAGTGAGAGAGTAGCATTCACATATACACACTACCAAATGTAAAATAGCAATGGGAAGCTGCTGCATAGCACAGGGAGATCAGCTCAGTGCTTTGTGACGACCTAGGGGGGTGGGATAGGGAAGGTGGGAGGAGGGCTCAAGCGGGAGGGGATATGGGGATATATGTATACATATAGCTGATTCATTTTGTTGTATGGCAGAAACTAACGTCACATTGTAAAGCAATTATACTCCAATAAAGATTAAAAAAATAACAAGAATTGGTTACATGTATTATGGTAAATCCATAAACTAAGATATTTATTATTATTATAACATTTCAAAGAAATTTTGCTGACATAAAAAATGCTCAAAATATAATTTCAAGTGAAAAAAGCAGGACACAAAACTGTATATAAGGTATGTTATGCTTTTTAAATACCACTATATATGTATGGACAAGAGAATAAGCGCAACACAGCAAAACGTTAACAAGGCCTCCCTCTCAGTGATAGAAAGGACAGAATTTTTTTCTATTATATTTGTGTTTTCTAAGAAGGAAACTTCCTTTGAAATAGTGGAAAGTAAAAAAAAAAACAATCTGAGGGTCAGACTGCCTTGGGTTCAAGTCCTGATTCTATTCTATGCTAGTAATATGTCACTGGGTAGGCTGCTTCCCTTCTGAATACAGGTTTCCTTACTTGCCAAATGAGAATGATGATAAAACTGCAGGGGAAGAATGTTTATCTGGGAGGCTGAATGCCAGAACAACTCGATGCCGGAATTATTCTAGAGAGATCGACTATGTTATCGTCCATTTCATAAATCACGACGTCGTAATGATGGAAGGAACGACTGCCTGCTGCAGTGAGCGGCACGTGGGGACGGATGGGGAGATGGGCTGGGCAGTGCCTAAGTGACGCTGGGAGGTGTGGGCGGCAGTGAGGACCATGGTGCATGTGTCGGGGTGTTCAGAGGATGCTGGGGTGTCACTGAGCTGTACGGTGGGGATAGGTCTCAACTCACTGAGAAGATTCCCCAACTCAGGGACTAACTGAAACCATCCTAGGAAATGATCTTTCTTCTAACCTAAGATAATTTATGTAAATTTGCTTTAAAGAACACGAAGCACTCAGTTATCCTTTTTACTGATAGAGGACTGTATCAAACCAGCTATTTCTAGGGGTCCGCCTCTCAGCATCTTCTCATCCCTCTGGGGCGAGGAGGGGTGGTGATGCTCAGGTGGTGGGATGTTGAGTTAGGTGGTCAGGAAGTTCTCAAGTTACGTGCTGGATGATTCTAGTTCTTTTCATCATAAACAATAACACTTATTGAGTTTTCACTCTGTGCTAGACACTAATCTTAGCCTTTTGTATTTACTATGATTATGGGGGAGGTGTATTAGCATGCCTTTTATTCTGCTGTTCTGCTATCTGGGGCCTTGCTGACCCTGGCGGGACTGCCCCTCCCAGGGCTAGCCAATTCCTAGAGATAGTAAAGGACTGACCTGTAAGTATGCTTTTCATATGCAAACTAAACAATCCAAAGTCCTCCACCATCCCTCCATCTCCTCTATCAGGCTCAGGGCCAATATTCCCCTTCCCTACTCAGGACAGCCCCCATACCCCAGAGCCCACTGAAATTAGTTAAGCTAGCCAATGCTAAGCCTGCTTACCCTGCCCTCACCCCTTCCTTCCCGAGAAAACCACAACAACGGCTCTTGCCCACATTTTCTTCCTGCTCCCTCTGCCTCCTGACTGACCCTGGTGTTTCCCCGTGTGGCCCTGCGTGGTATGATGTGCGCTCTCCTTCTGGGGACTGTGAATAACAAACTATCCAGTGGTAGTTGTTTCCTGATCTATTGGCCTCATCAAACCCGAATAATAATAAAACCCACATTTTAAACAAGAAGTGCTATTATCAGCTCCATTTTACAGCTGGGGAAACTGAAGCTCACAAAGGTTACATACCTTACCCAGGGTCATACAGCAAAATAAGAGGTATAGCCAGAGTTGAAGCCATCTGACTACAGAATTATACCACTGGCCATTATGCTATACTGAGAAACCTACACTCCATCCCATTTGAGGGTCCTTTGTAATTGGGGCAGTGAACTATTTGGGAGGGCAGCCCTCTAGTTGATGGTTGGGGCCTAGTGAAGAAGGCACACACAGAGTATAGGCACCACTCATGTGAAGGGGGGAAAGGGAGCCTATCAGGAGCTTGGCCTTGTGCTGTGTGCCTTACAGGTGTTTTCTCATTTAATCCTTAGAACGTCTCAATGGGCTTTATTATCTTTGATTTATGGCTGAGGGAAGTAGGGCTTTGAGTGGTGAAATGACTCTCAAGCCTGGGGGCTCTGTGGTTTAAAGCTCCAACCCTGGGGTCAGGATGTCTCAAGTTCGACTCCCAGCTTCATTGCTAATTACCATAAGGCAAGTCACTAAGCCACTCGGAGCCTCAGTTTCCTCATCTGTCAATTGGGAACAATGGTACCTGCTTCAAAGTGTGCTTCTGAAGATACCATGAGACAGCACCCATCACAAACTTAACACGGTGCTCAATACACTTTTTTTTTTTTTTTTTTTTTTTTATCCTTTACTCATTGTGACCGACTGCTAGGTGTGTAGTGGGACACCAGAGGATGGGCAGCTCCGGAGGTTTCTCCTGTTCTAGAGCTGCCCTGCCCGGCAGGATGGTCTCCACGTGAATGCTCAGCCTGTGAAACGTGCTCTGGGTAAAACACACACCAGGCTTCAAAAAGAATGCAAATAGCTCCCGTGTCCCCTGCATCGGCAGGCGGACTCTCAACCACTGAGCCACCAGGGAAGCCCCTCAATACACTTTTAAAGTCCATTTTTGTTCTAAGTCATGCCCCAGCATGATGTTCCCAAGCAACAAGATGCACCTAATTGGCAGGAAACCGGGAGCACCAGGCCCCTCAGAATTCAGCAGTGTCAGGAATAAAAGCCTCTTTAAAACTTCCTTTCAAACCTAACTTTCAAGAGAAACTCGCTTGAAGAGGAAAAAAACTGCTAAAGATTAAAACTGCAGTGGAAAACCAATTACTTACTTTGGTATATTTTGTTAATTACGTTCTTTCTTCTTTTGCTAAATTGATAGTAAAATATACCAACTTAATTATTGCAATTTGGTTTCAGATAACAATATCTAACTAGATAAAGATTTGGGCATAAACTAATCAGGGCAAGTGACAGCCTCTTAAGGGGCCCAAGTGACAGATGGCGAGAATCCTGATGTGCCAGCAAACACTGCCCCCACCCCGATTTATAGAGAGGACGCAGCAGGGGTGCTTTTCCGTGGAAGATATTCTCTGTAACATCTCTTGGTGGCGCTAAATCTAACTGCACACATCTGCAAGCCTCCAACTTTCCCAAACAGCTTTCCCAGCTTATCTCTGCCAGTCCATGTAACCGCCCCCACAGTCGAGGTAAGGTGAGGATTAGCATGGCCATCTGAGGGGCAGGCGCATGGAAACCTTCCTGCCGTACCTTCTCAGAGCGTCTGGATCTGCATCTCAGGGCTGTGCCCTGGACCCTCTCTCCCTCCTCTGTACTTTCAAAGACACCTCATCCTCTCCCACGGCTGCAGTTACTCTCATTGCGGACAAGTCCTGAACTCTTCTTTCCCAAACTTAAAATGTGTAGATTCAGCCACCTTCCGGTTGCTTCCCTTGGCTGTCTCCAAGGTAGCTCAAACTCACTGTGTCCAAATCTGCTCTCTCTGCCTTCCTGGCATGGCCCAACCCTGCCCCACCTCCAGGGTCTCTGCTTTGGTGAGTGACACTACTCTCTGCGCCAAGATGCTTCAGGTAGGTATCTGGCATCACCCACATTTAAACCAACAATCAAGCCCTATCACTTCCACCCCCAAAATGCTGCTCCTTATGTCCAATCCCAGCTTTCACACCCACTGGCACTGATTCAGCAGAGAATCTCAGCATCTCCCCCCGGGTTGGTCAACCGGCCCCAGTCTTGTCTTTCTCCTTTCTGTTTTCAACACAGTAGTGATTGTTCTAAAGCTCAGAGTGTGACTATGTGCTCAGTACACTTTTAAAAGTCACTCTCCTGCTCAATAACCATCAGTGGCTCCCTACTGCCCTGAAGATGAAAACCCCTTAACTCAGCCTCTAGGTCCCTGCAGAATGCCTTCTTTCCTCTCTAGTCTCTCATCTCACCACCCCAGGCTCATTTTTTTCCTGATTCTCCATCCAAAAGCTTCCTCTTCTTCCCTTCACTCCTGCTCCCCACATATTCCTCCATTGTGGGCAGTTTGTTCTTTTTCATCCTTGTTGCTTTTCATGTGCTCCTTCTATCTGGAACACTTCACCTTACCCTCACCTGGACTACTTACACTCAATCTTTAACATAGGCTCAGGAGTCACCTCCTCCAGGAAGCTCTCTCTGATCTCCCAGGTTGGATTTAGCTCCTCCTTTCTTCCCACAGTCCTGTGTTTATCCCCAGCATAGCACTTATCACAGAATTTTGTAAAAAAAAACTGTTTCCTTGTCTGCCTTCCACCAGACAAGAGAGAATAGGGGCCTACGGTGGTTTTAAAACGTCCACAAATTGTTTGATACTCCTTCCCGTAAAAAGTAGAGCTTAATTCCCCTCCCCATGATTTGCTGACTTGCTTCTAACAAACAGAATACGGTAGAAGTGACGATGTATAATTTCTGTGACTAGGTCATAAAGGCAATGCAGCTTCTTGCCGCCGTGTTCTGGGGTCACTCAAGCAGCCTTTGGAAAGGTCTGTGTGGTGAGGAACTGAGGCCTCCTGCCAACAGCCATGTGAGCAGGCCGCCTTGGAAATGGATCCTCAGCCTGTCAAACCTTCAGATGAGACTGCAGCCCTGGCCAACATCTTGACTGCAGCCTAATGCAAGATCCTGAGCCAGTTCAGAACCACACCCAAATTCCTGGCCACAGAAACCTGAGATAATAAAGGTCGTTTTAAGCTACTAAGTTTTTGACAATTTGTTAATAACAGGCACCCAGTAAATAGCTATTGCGCGAATGAATGAATGAATCAGGTAACTTGCCATGGTCACACAACCAGTTAGAAACCAGGCATGAAGGTCTGCTAGGGTCTCTCTACTACAGCCCACTCAGACCCCCCCTAACTCACCCAGAAATCCAGCCACCTTTTCCTCCACAGACAGATGCCCTGTCCCTTCCAGAAGCACTAAAGGAATGCTTTGGGAAGTGCCCCTCTGCCCAGGCTGGGGCTCTCAAAAGCCAGGGTGGGCCACCTACCCAAGCGCAAAGACGTCCGAGTGTTTGGAGAAGGGGAGCTTGTCTTCCTCTGTGTCTGGAGACAGCTGGCGGATGATCTCCGGGGCCAAGTGGCACAGCCAGCCGCTCTGGATACGCAGCTTGTCATCACGCCTGGAGAAGCAAAGCACAGAGTGAGCCCCGTTTCACAGCCCAGGGAGGACCAGCCCTCCATCACGGACCCCAAGTCCCTGGACCATCTCTGCTGGCTTTCTTGTGTTCCTCCCCCATCCCTAGCCCCCCATCAAGCACTGCCTGACCTTGTACTTGAGGCCAAGACTCAGTGGGAGGTGCAGGAAAGGCTGATCTGGAGAGAGACACCCAACACCCAAACAGTCATCGTGTCCCTTCACCTCTGAGGCGCCCCCTTCTCCATCTTCATTTAACAAATACAGCCAGTTCTTGTTATTCGTGGCGCTTATGTTCTATAAAGTCTCAGCAAACACTGAATTAGTGAAAACTGAGTTTTTCCTCCTGGAGGAAATGTATATATACACACACATGCACACATCTCAAAAAGATTATAATCTTAAATCCTAAAAACAATTCGTCCTAGTCTATTTTATTTTACGCAAGAGAAAATGAGGCTCAGAAGTATTACGTGACTTGCCCTGAGGCTGCCTCACTACCAGGGGGCAGAATTGCAAAACCCATCCAACTGGCCCCAGAGCTGGAGCTTCTTGCCCTGCACTGCACCATCCTATCTCCAGCCTCTGGTCATCGCTGATGAGAGCTGAAACAAAACTGCACAGCATCCTCTCCTTGGATCTCAGCTGGGAACATGTGCATCAGTTGACTCGTTTTTCACCACCCTGTACATGTCCACGAATGACTGTGAATGTGCCGTGAGTATTGATTTGGGGGTTACAAATAAATTTTAGTGAGTAGGTGAATTTGCAGATATGGAATCCGTGAATAATGAGGACCAACTGTATTTATGAGCACCCACTATGCCTAGGCTCTGTTCTCTGCACTGGGACCACAGCAGTGAACAAGATTGACAAAGTCCCTGCCCTCCTGGAGCTTGTACTTTGGTAGGGGAAAGTGATGACAAATGAATGATCTAGATAGGAAAGATTAAAATAGGAGAATGTGTCAAAGATAAGAGGGAGCTTACTTTAGGTAAAATGTGAACTAAGATTTTCATGACATAAAGGATCCAGCCATACGAACAAGGAGAAGAATATTCCAGGCAGGAGAGAAGTTAGGACAAAGGCCCAAGGCAGGCCCTCTTTGGGGCGTTCTAGAAACCCAAAGAACGTCAGTGTGGTGGGGACATATCATGCTCCCCCACTGGCATGACCAGGCCCGGTGGGGTGGGGTGGAGTGGAATGCTGCTGCCAAAAGGGCAAACGTCCCTGTTCCCATCTCATCCAACAGCCCCCTCTGCCTTCTCCTGACTCACTGGGGCAGTGGAGGTTTGGAATTGTAGGGCTGGGCCAGGAAGGAGGGTGCTGGCCACTCGCTAACCATCATCCTGGGGCGGATGTGAGCACGTGCCTAGAGGGGGCTGGAAGCCAGGCCTGGCACAGACACCCTGGGGTGTCCTGTTCCCATGGTGATGGACCCATCGGTGACCTACCCAAATCATCTTCATTATGGTTATTATTACGATCAATAACAGCCTGTGGGCAACTGGCATGAAAGCACTGGCATCTCAAATGACACCTTTTCTGGACGATGGCAGAACAGCTGTAGGCAAGGCAATGCCGGGGACGGGCTCAGGGGAAGCTCTGGCATCTGTCTGGATGTTCAGAACGTGCTCACCTTATTGCTACCCCCGCCCTTACCCCAGGCTCAGCTGATCTCCCCTATCTGGGCACCCAGCACTGTCAATGCCCCAAGGTCTAACTGAGGGAATGGTAGGAAGGCAAGTAACTCCTGCTGAGTACCTCCTGTATGTCGGGCTGTCCACCCAACTTAATTCTTATGTGCCCACAATCAGATGGATATCACCTCTGTTCTGTGGGTCAGGAAATAGCCTCAAAAAGCTTAAGTGACCCTCCCAAAGCCACGGAGGTAACAAGTGAAAGAACTAACATCTGTTTGATTGCAAGTCCTTAAAACTCCAGCGACTAAACTCCTAACCACAATTCTACACGAATTCTATAGCACACCAGTTGGGAGCAAAGTTCTGAACTAAGCCCTATTTTCCCTCCAACAGGGAAAAAAATCACAGGAAGCCACCAATGGCTACTCCTGGGTAGCCAGACGCTGTGGATCTCTGGTTGGGAGAGATTGCAGAGGGCTCCCTGGCCTCTTGCAACACTAATTGGGTTTGCGTTGACAGCCAGGCTGGGGCACGGTGGGGGCGGGTGTGGTGTGCTGTCTGGGCGACAAGGCCAGAAGCCACCTTGCCCTTGACTTGCACTCCCTTCCTGGTTGCCACTGGGCCTTCATGAATGAGCTGAAGGTCATTCCTTTTCCCTTTGCTTTCTCGTCTCCCTGTGGCTTCAGAAAACCATGAATCTAAAGGGAAAAAATCAGGGACTTCCCTGGTGGCGCAGTGGTTAAGAATCCACCTGCCAATGCAGGGGACACAGGTTCGAGCCCTGGTCCGGGAAGATCCCACATGCCGCGGAGCAGCTAAGCCTGCAAGCCACAACTACTGAGCCCACGTGCCACAACTACTGAGCCCGTGAGCCACAACTACTGAAGCCCACACTCCTAGAGCCCGTGCTCCACAAGAGAAGCCACCGCAATGAGAAGCCTGCGCACCGCAACAGAGTAGACCCCGCTCGCCACAACTAGAGAAAGCCTGAGTGCAGCAACGAAGACCCAACGCAGCCAAAAATAAATAAATAAATAAATTTTAATAAATAAATAAAGGGAAAAGATCAGAGGCCCTCTGGTTTTTGGGGGAGAAGCCACTGACAAGGAGAAAGCATGTGGACCTGCCACCAGGAGGGAGGAATCTGATTTTTTTTTTTCTTAAGAGCCTTGAGCTAGGTTAAAGACAACGCCTGCTACACCTCTTGTCTTGACACAAATACTTGGGCTCATAGTGATGTCGCCAACTGCTTCCTCTGCCCTTGGCCTGGGGCAATGGAAACAGGGAGGGAGCGATTCCCCAACCAGTAAACCGGAACCTAAGTGGGGTCTTGGCTTCTTGGGTTCTGACTTGATGACTCTCTCCATCTATCCACTGATCCATTTGTTAATTTCCTGTCTACTTACTTTCTTATCTTAGGGACTAGATGCAGTTTTGGAGATGAATCTCTGGGTGGAGTAAAATCTAAAAAAAACCCCTTAAGCTTCTGTTTGTTACTGCAACACACAGGAACAGCTAGATCAGGCTCCACCAAATTTCAGGTGGTCTGGCTGAGATTCAAGGTATTACAGAGCATGAACAAAATTCACTTTGTTGGGGGGCTCCTGGGTGTACCTCAAAGGGATCAGGGATTCTCCAAAGCAGCTGGAATGGAAGTACAATGAGAGAAACCAGGGCTTGGGGGGTGCTGCCTTTCTGGAGAGGCATACCATTTGTTAAACGAGGCATGATTAGAGAGAACATGCTGGGTTTAAAGTGTGTGTGTGTGTGTGTGTGTGTGTGTGTGTAGCACACACTCCAAATTAAAAGTCACAAAGGGCAGACCTTCTGAATTATGGGTTGTTTATTTGGGATCAGGCTGTTTTTCACATGGTCAACTCAAGGTAGCTTGCTCTAGGGTGAGTGGTGGCTGAGAGTTTATTACTTAACAATAGTTAATGACCCTCCTGGGTGATACTGAGGAGGTATATGCAAATTAATACTAATTACAACAACTCCACAGAAGCTACTGGCTTGGCCAGAAAGTTCGTTTGGGTTTGTCCATAGATGCTACAGAAACCCCGAACGAACTTTTTGGCCAACCCTGTATTATTTGTGGTGCTTGATGTGCTCCAGGCATCGTGCTGGATGCTTGCTGTGTGTTGTCTTATTCTACCCTCATAACGACCCTCTGAGGCAGGAATCATCATACCCATCATTTTTCTTGCAGGAAAGTGAAGGCACAGTTCATAAGTGGCAGAGCCAAGTTGGGCCCCGGGTGGGTCTGACTTTAAATCCCTTGCTCTTAACTACACTCCTGCTGTATGTACTAAAACAACGGGATTCATAAGAAAACTTTGAGCAAGGGTGCTTGGGGGAGCCCAACTTCCATGTGCGTGCTTGGAGTAAGGAGAATGTCTTCCAGTGAAACTCAAGGGCAAGGGTGTTGCAGGACTGATGGATGCTTTGTGCCCATTCAAAGGCGCCATTTCCAAGACAGGCCCCATGGGACTCAGAGTGTGACCTGGGCATCCGCACTGCACCATGGGCTCAGCAGCCTAGCTGCGCAGCTAAGCGACCTCAGGTCCAGCATCGCGTCTAGGTCACTGAAGCCATCTGGGTGACTTCTCATCCCCTGACCGCCATTTGTCAAGAGCCCCTCTGGGCCCTTCTACCACCTCTCACCTGCCAGCCTGCAGCACCCCGGAAATGCTGAAGAGCCCGAAGTCTGTGATCACCACTTTGCCGTTGTCATAGAAGACGTTCTTGGACTTGAGGTCCTTGTGCAGGATTCCCTTGGCGTGGAGGTAGCCCATGCCCTGCAAGAAACAAGGATACAGGGAGCTGCCAGAGGACACCCATGCGCTCACTGCCAGCCTGGCTTGGGTTCACGATTCACATGCCTTGCCTTTCCACTGAAACCACACTGAACAGCTGCAGATCTGGGACCCAAATGCCAAGGTTTGCAGGTGGGGTGGAGAAGGCATGGCGAGTGGGAACAGGCAGGGTCCCCAAGACAGAAATCTGCCACCACCCTCAGATCATAGCAAAACCACCTCCATCTAAGCTCTTCTGCTTCCTGAAGAAGAAACGGAGGAAGATCTACCCAGAGGGAAAGGGGCGGGGACAAGCCCGAAAAGAGGCCCCCAGAGTAAGGAATCCCATCAGCCATCTTCCCCACTTCCGTTCTGCAAAATAACTCATCTGCAGGAGACTTGTTCCTTAGATCTACTTAACCCACACAACTGCAGAATTTCACTGTGCGCCTCAAGAGACATATCACAAGGCGATAATCAAGAACATGGAGAAGGGTCTATGGGAGGTCAAGCTTAAGGGTGAAATGTCTAGACTTCTCTTTTTGCCTTAATGAGCAGTCACATTTTTATTTCTTTTTGCAGCTCAGTCCTGACGCTTCCGATGGGAAATAAAATCCGGAAGACGATGGACTAACGAGGCGCCAGCAGAAAACACAGGATGTTCCCGTTTGTTTTAATCCCAAACAACACCAAACAATTTGATGCTCCCCCAGCAGCTGTGGAGAGAGACGGCTCACATTCATGGGAATTCAAGGCTTCAAGGGGTAAAGGAGTTTATCGATGAGAAGAGTCCCTCTCCCCGCCCTGGGTCTCCGCACACACCCAATTATCATGATGATGGGGCACCAGATGGAAACCAAACATTAGTAGACCATCCCTCATGGTTGTATCTGGCCTGGTAGTGTGCAGGTCAAGTTTAATCTCTTTTAAGCCCAGACTGTTGATCTGAAGCCAGACCATGAGTCTCAGGAGGGGTCCTTCTGAGGTTCAGGGAGGAGGCCCCAGACCCTACGGTACCTTCACAATTTCTTGGGCAATCTGCCTCGTTTTGTTGACATCCAAGACGATCTTGGCATCCCTGACCACAGAATAGAGTGTCCGGCCCTTACAGAGGCTGGAAAGCAGAAGGACACAATTAATTGTTGGCAGTTGTTGCGATAAGGGCCACACACAACAGTTATTAAAAGTGACACGTAGAGGGAATTCCCTAGCGGTCCAGTGCTTAGGACTCGGTGCTTTCACTGCCGGGACCCGCGCTCTATCCCTGGTTGGGGAAAAAAGATCCTGCAAGCCACGCGGCACACACACACAAAAGTGACACATAGAGAGTGGGTGTGTGCGGACATGCCACTATTATGCCTGTGAGATACTAAGCCACCACAGCCTTGCACTGGACCTCAGTTCTGGTTCTGGGATTCGGGTCTGGGAGCAATTCCTTTGGTGTTCTTCAGCATCTTTATCAGCTACCCCCAGCATCCAAGGACACCTGCAGAGTCTAGCCTAGCCCAGAAGCAGGTTTTGCCACGTACCGTCTAACACAGGCTCTCACAGGTAAAAATTCGCTTGTAAACTGATAACTTCTGGGGTCCTCAGACAGCACTCAGACGGCACTCTGCCGGCCCCTCGGCCCAGCTGCTCTCACTTGCCAGGATCCACTGGTGTGTGGGGAAAGTGATGAAAGACCAGCAAAGCGGTCGCTGATGTGTACTAAGTACCATCAGTGAATAATGCATTCAAGCCTTTAGACAGGGGTGTGTAAACACCAGTAACACTCCCCCAAAGCAGATGCCTGTCTGGATAGAGGGTTTTCAAACTATTTTCAGCCTCACTGAGCTCATTTCGAGGACCAGTGGTTCAAGATGAATGACAAGATGAAAAAGGACATTATACAGTGACAGTAACACCTCATTTAATTGCCAGCGTGTTCACCCATCCTTTTTCTCTGCAATGAGCCTGAATCCTGGCGCACACAGACCAGGAACTTGATAAACAGTCCGCAAATGAATGAGTGAATGAATCAACGAGTAAATGAATGAGTTCTAGATTCACCATAGCATTCCCCAGCCCCTAGCATCACATCTGGTCCATCACATCCAATATTGGCTGAAAGAAGAAGGAATGACATTAGGAAAGTTCATTTTCCATCTATGTCTAAATGATGGCATGAATTTTTCTTTTAATCTGTGACTTGATTGCTAAAATATTCTTGGCTTTGTATTCATTCCTTTAGTAGTTACCGAGCCCTGCTGTGGGCTTGAATTAGCTGAAATTGTGTGGTTATAGCCAGAACTCAGGTATCAGAGGGATCTGTTTGAATCCCAGCGCTGCTCTTTACTTACATGCGTCATTGTGTCTCTGGATGGGTTACTTAACCTCTCTGGGCCTCAGATTCCTCATCTATCAAAGGGAACTAATGATACCCACCCACAGAGTTAGTATGAGGACTGAATGAGAGAAGGAGGAGGTGGGGAGTGGAGCACACTGGTTAGAACAGGGGCCCAGAGTCAGACTGTCTTAGAACCGTGGTTTGTCAGTCAGTGGCTGTGTGACCCTGGGCAGGAGAGCTAACCTCTCTGAGCCTCAGTTTCATTATCTGTAAAACGAGGCTGACAGTTTTTGCTTTACAAGGTTTCTTAGGAGAATCGCACGGAATCAGGAGTGTCAAGGTGTAGGCAACTCTCCACGCCCAACACAGTAATTATTCATGAAACTCTGGCTATTCTGAGAGGTGGTGAATGATCAATACAATGGTGAACATACACATATTTGTGCGCAAATTATATATTAATTACGTACTTATACACACATCACATCCTTCTGTCCATTACCTGTCCACGTATCCACTTACCCACCAATGCTACCTATAATCATCCATGATCTTCAACTGAGATTCGTTTCTTCACCTGCTTGAGGTGAGATTCCCAGGGTAGCTGACTCACAGGGAGTCTGATTCGCCCGCCTGTCCAGGGTTGCCCAGTAAGTCGGCGAGGGGCAGCCATGGTGACTCAGGGCTGTCCCCACCTTGCTGTCTCAGGCACTGGGTTTGCTACTGCTGGAGTTGAGGTGGAGGGGGGCAGTGGGCTGCACAGCCAATTAGACCACAGTGACATTTGAGTATTAGGGATGGCGGAGACCGTGGGTGGATTCCCTCCCCTGGAGACTCTGTTCCTGAACAGCCACCTACACTCATTACAGGCCAGAGCCCAGAAGAAATATGTCCCCACTGCAGACGGCCAAGCGAACAATCGCAACAGGCTCCAAGCCTCCCAGACTCTCAGGGTAACTGCATAGAAATTACAGCCTCCAAATGTCCATCCCTGTCTCCTTTCCCCTGCTCACATCCTCCTTTCCAGCTGCAGCTGCTAAAGTCTTTGCTTCTCTCACTACCTTATGGCATCTGGAGCCCCTGCGCGCGCGCGCGCACACACACACACACACACACACACACACACACACACACACACACACACACTGGCTGGTAAGATATCAACTGGTACGACCACAGCTTGGCACTTTTACTGAAGTGAAATATACAAATAAGCCATAACCAGCAATTTATCTCCTAAGTATGTAGCCAGAAGGCATGCACACTCATGTTCACCTATAGACATGTACCAGAATGTACTAGAATATTCTAGAATGTTAATAGCAACCCATTCATAATAGCCCCAAACTGGAACCTACCCAAATGTTCACGGACAGAAAAATGGATAAATTATGATATATCTGTATAACAAAATATATTCATACTGAACTGTTAATAAGCAAATTACTGCTAACTGCAAAAGACATGAAGTTCTAAACCTAATGTTGAGCAAAAGAAGCCACACACACACTCAATGACTCCATTTATATAAAGTGCAAAAGCAGACAGAACTGGTCCATGTGTTAGAAGTCAGCACAGCAGTGACCCTGGTGGGTGGGGAGGATGGAGATGGGGTGGGGGAGCTGGGGGCAGGTGATGCTCTGCGTTTTGATTTGGGCGTTGGTTGTATGGATGTGCATTTAGTGGAAATTAATCAGGCCGTGCTCTTAGGATCTGAACACTTTGGCAGGTACGTTATCCTTCCAAGAACAATTTACTTAAAAAAAAATCAGCGAGGAAAGGATGAACAATTAATACAACAGCGTTAAGCTTTAAAATCTAAGCCAATATTGACACCCCAGGTAACTATTTCTAAACGCTTCACACAGCCCTGAGGGGCAGCATCTACAGGGGAATGAGGGGCTCCAGGCCTGGCTGTGCCTGCTCAGGTGTTTATCGGAGGCTGAGCTGAAGGTGAGGGCTGAGCTCTAAGCAGGAGCAGGCATTAGGCAGGTGTCCAGGGTGCCCAAGGCTCCAATTGTCCAGGCAAGTCAGTCCCACTATCCACGGCAACTGCTCCGAGCTTGGGATTTCTGTGGCTAACGCCAGTGCCCTAAAAGCTGCTTGTGCCTGGGTGGTGGGGAAGGGAACCGAGGAGAGGATGAAGGTTTACTGAGCACATGTGGGACCTCTCTCACATCCAGGCATCCTTCCCAGCATCCCTGCAGGGTCCATGTTATCACCCACCTCTTACAGGTGAGAATGGGGAGACCCAGAAGGGTGGAGGACCGGCTCACGGGCACACGGCCATGGTGCCAGCCTGTTCCTGATCTCCCATCTCATCCATGGTGCGGGTACCCTGTTATTGGACATGATTTTGGGGCCATGAAAGAGACACACAGCCGAGGGAACCCAAATCCCAACTCTACCATTTACTGCTTGTCGGGTGACCTCGGGAGGTGACTTCAACCTCAGCTTCCTCATCTGTAAAATGGGGACAACAGAAACAATACCAGCTAACGTGGACTGAGCCCTTTCTATGTGCCTGACACCAGCCTAAGCACAAGAGCCCCAGGAGGTGGGTACTCTCGAGGTATTTCATTGATTCCAGTGTGCATTTCCTCACATTGTAAGTAACATCTCTGAAATCAGAATGTGTTTTGCATTCGTTGACAGGTCACAGTTTCACGGCACCGCCCTTCTCTCTTCGTAGTACATAAAAGAAACGGCGCATATTCTAATGGACGGCATCTTCGATTTAATCAAGTTCGGGATCAGCCCCATTCCTACAGATGAGGGAACTGAGGCTCAGAGAGGTTAAGCAGAGCTGATTTGAGCCCAGGCAGGCTGGCTCCAGAGTTTAGCCTCTTAACCCCCATCTTTTCTTCCTTAACAATTTTCTCAGACCCCAGCACATCACAGGCCCCCAGTGAATGGTAGCTACAACATCACTACTAACATCACCTATGGCAATGAAGATTAATGAGGTCCGCAGGCCTCAGTAGCCGAGTCAGTCTGGACGTCAAGAGAAGGTGTTTCAGTGGTTTAAGGATACATTTAGTACCTCTCTAGCTTCTGGGGCAGTAGGCCCAAGCACTAGTGTACACACAGTATCTCCCTCTGCAACAAAGATCATGTTTTACCAAGAAGAGGAGCAAAACTGGGGATTTTCCACCTTATCTGCAGGTCAACATCTCTTCCGACCGTGGCTCCAGGCACCTCAAATAATGCTGTTTTTGACCCCATATCTCAGGTGACACAGTAAACCTATGGCCCAGATGGCAAGGCAAATGAAAGACGTTTGATGTAAACCAGCCTAAACGAGGCTTGTCAGAAACAATGAGATAAAACCATCTAGAGGTTTCTCTCCAGGGGCCTCTGTCCAAACTGGCTCATTCTGCCAAAACAGCGGCTGGGAAAGAAACCTGGAGGCCGTGGCAGCTGTTTCCTTTCTCTCCCGCAAACTCCTCAGCATCAAGGCCAGGGACCCAGGCCAGTGTGAATGGAATGGGAGCTGGGGGCCACCCCCTCTGAAGACCGACAGACCGGCTCTCAGCCCAGCTCTGCCCCCTGAGAGCCCACACGGCCCTGGGGACTAACTGTGCCTCATCTGTGTCCATATCTGTAACTGTGGGTGTGGTCAACTCCATAACGGTCCCCCAAAGATATCCACACCCCAACCCACAGAAACAGTAAACATTTACATGGCAAAAGGGACTCTGCAGCTGTGATTAACTTAAGGCAGAGGGAGATGTGAGTATGTAAGAGGCAGTTGAGGGATGTTATGTGAGAAAGAACCACCCAGTCTT